AAAAAAAAAAAAAAAAAGAAAAGAAAATGACAATTGATCAATATTGACTAATTTATTAGTGAAGCACTGGACTCTGAATATAAAGGTTTTTTCATTACAAGTCTTTTCTCCTCTGTCAGTAGAGATACCCAAAATGTTGGTGATATATAATGGGGATAAAATCTGGTATCTGATTCTTTAGCAGGGAAAAGGGTAAAGTGCTTCAAGAAAAATGCAGCTCTTGAAAACCAGTGGAAGGCTACAGAGACCTATAGCTTCCTGTGTTCATTTTGGTATTATTTTCACTCTGTTCTTTATTCCCACTCTTCTCTCTCTCTCTCTTTCTCAAAAGAATCCCCCCACTCAGAAAGACAACTTTCCTTCTAATTTTCCCACAGTTTAGAATAGCATAGCAGCTACTTTAATCTTATAGAGAACAGAGAAGGTATAGATGACAATAAAATATTTCTGATTTGACAATGCCAAACATAATCAGATTAGTATTTTAAGTGATGAGTCATTATAAAATATAGCTGACAAGATTTTTTTAGCTTTTAGTTTTTTAGTATTGTTTTTTTTTGATTTTGGATCCTCTAATATTAGGAGGTAATCACGACAACTGGAAATTAATAACCATAACAATCACTACTAACATTTTAGCAACACAAAAATAAAGTCGTAATAATTATTAACATGCATTGAGCGCTTACTATGTGCCAAGCCCTGTTCTCCACACTTCACCCAAGTTTTCATTATTTTCCCCCACGGATCCCATTAGATAGGTACTATTATTATCTCCATGTCACAGATAAGAAAATGGGGACGGACACTAACAACTTGCCCAGGACCAAACCGACAGTGAGACGTGGAACTGGAATTCGAGCCTAGGCAACGCCACAGCCTGAAGCTCAGCGTCACGCACACACTTCGGACAACACCTTACCAAGAAGTGATGGATGCAGGGCAGGAGCACGATGTCTGTCAGGGTGAAGTAAAGCCCTTCCGCAAACACGTGCTCCAGAGGGGGCAGCTCAGAGGCTTTCGCTTTCCGGATGTGTGGCGGCTCCCTGGGGGCAGTCGCCGCTGTCTCCTGCACTGTGAGCTTGGAGAAGGCCACCGTCAGTTCCAGACTCTCGGGGGAGGAGCCCACGTGCTCAGACGTGTCCTGTGCGTGGACCCTGCTCTTGGCTCTTCCCTTAGCGAGCGGCGGGCCCGCTGCAGCAGCCTTCTGCAGCTTCAGCTTCTGCCTGCGCAGCTTGTCGTCGTTGTGCACGCGCACCGGCTCGCCGAGCTTCCTCTCCAGCTCCAGTATCTCCGCCGGGATAGCTGGGGGCCGCTTCGAAGACTCCCGGAGAAAATCCTCAATAACCAAAGGAATGGTGAGTTCACACAGCCTGGTCCACTGACTAACCTAGGAAACAAAAACAGAATCAGAAAGGAAAGGACTCTTTGCTTTCAACACAGCTTGAAGGAAAATGACTGTCTCATTGGGTGGTCAGTCTTGGGCTCGCCACCGCTGGGCTGGGCTTTCAGGCTACAGCAAGAGACACATGACGCTGCTTCACAAGTGCAGACATTTAAGCAAGCACGGTTTAGCACTCGGGTATCCTCCTTTTACTGAATAAATCCTTACTTACCAAAGCTTTCACAATGCACCTTCCCTGCCCCACCCTCCAAAAAAGCGGGGCTTCCAAAGCGCTGCCATTCCCTTTAAAAATCCTCAATGTCATTAAAATAAAGGATTAAAAAAGGAAGCCATTCTTTAAAAAACAATGTCTCCAAACTTCATAACTTAAATCTCAAGTTTTCATTTTTCAGTACTGCACTGAAATATTGGCATACACGAAGAACTAGTTTAGCTATTTTATAAGTTACTGTGATTTTTTTAAATAAATGAGTATTTACTTCCAACAGGAAGTGAAGACAAATGTTCAAGCAAATAAATACGTTATCATTTTGTCACTTTAACAGAAGAGAAAGAGACATTACACTTACTTCAGCACAGGCTTTCAAGCAGGTCTTTTTAAAACCCAGAAGTTCCAAAATTTCCTTCTTGGACGGGTCTACTTCGTATGACTTCTGGATGATGTGTCTCAGCACAACAGCAAGGCCTGCCCTACAGAAGTTGTCTGGCTGCTCTACTACCGCAGGTAGACAGCAATTCTGGACTATGGGTGGAAGTTCTTGCCTTGAAATCATCTGTGTTTTAATATCCTGGGACAGTACATCTCTTAGTAATGAACCATTCGTACTTTCTTTGGTGAGAACTAAGCAAACTTTGAAGATTTTGCAGTCACAGTATGACAATAAAAACAAAGTTACAGAGGTATGAAGAGGAAAGATACATCCTTCTGTGTGGTGAGAAAAGTCCAGGTATAGATATTCTTCTGTAAGGCTTTTCTTCATGCCTTTCATTGTCTTCTTTCATCTGGTCACCTAAAGCACAAATTGAAGTGGTTATTGGCCTTAGAACATTTATTAGAATAATTTAGAAGCTAACATAAAACATGAATGTTCTAGAAATCAGCAAAAATTCGTAATAGATAACAATGCTCCAAGAATTTGTTCCTAAGGACCAGCTAAATGACTTTGAAAATAAAAATTTCCACCCTGTGCAATTAATTAGGCTCAAGGGTGATTTCACACCCAGCTCCTTTAAAATGAGACTACTTCCATGTTTTGCAATGAACCCTCCCAGTCAGGTACTTTGGGGTCTTACTGTGAGAAAGAGGAGATAGATAAAATGGGAAATAAGAAATCAACCAAGAATACTGAGAGCTGTCTGGGGATACGGGTGTTGAGAAATTCTGACAATGCGGGCCCTTCCACGATGCTTGTGATTTATGACCCTACAGTATAATGATCAGAGAGGGTACATTCATTCCGTGCTGAGACGTGGGTTCTCGTAAAGTAAGTGATGGGCTGTCGCGTGCTAAATCACAAATAGAAATGTATTTTAACTTCCCCATAACTTAGATGCTGATAGCTGAGAGAGCTCAAAGTTAACACGTCCAAAATCTAGTTCCTTATTCCGCCCCACTTCCTGTATCTCAGTTAATGGAACAACATCCTTCTAGTTTCTCAAGCCAAAAACTTGGGAAGTCATTCTTAATTACTCTTTTCTTTCATACCCCTATAACTGATCCACTAAAAACTGATTTTGGCTCTATTTTCAACGCACATCCAGAATCTGACCATTTCATGACATTCCCGTTGCTTCTGCTGTGATCCAAGCCACCATCACCTCTTCCGAATGACGGCAACTGCTGGCTTCCTGTCTCACCTCCCAAGAGTCTGTTTTCAACACAGCAGCCAAGGCGATCCTCTTAGCCATGAAGGAAGATCATGTCACCACTCACCTCGAACCCGCCACTGTCTTCCCATCTTACTCAGAGAAAAACCAAAGTTTCCACAATGGCCTACAAAGATCTCCTTGATCTAATCCTCTTTTTGTACAAAGTTTCTGAATTTGCCTCACCAACCCTCTTCATCGCTCACTGCTTCAGCCAAAGTGGACTGTTATTCCCCTAAAACACCAGGTACATTCCCACCTCGGTGCCTTTGCACTGGGTGTTCCCAGTACCTAAAACACCCCTTCACCTCCTTCGGGTATTCACTCAACGGCAGCGTCTCACTGAGACCTTCCCAGGCCACTCAATGTAAATTGCAAACCCCAACTCCTACTCTCCCTGAAAAAAGTCTTTCTATTCCCTCTATGCTTTATTTTTCTCCATGGCATTTATCACTATTGTGACTTACCACATATTTTTTTCTCTCCCCCAACGAAAATGTTCCATGCCAGTGGAATTTTTTTGTTCACGGCTACGCCTAAAATAGGGTCTGCTTTATATATTTACACATATAAGCAAGAAGTGATTGACAAATGACTGCATGGATAAACACACTGGTTACTTTAAAGGTTCAAACACACACAATCCTGAGGTCAAAGCACTGACGGGTGTTTTCAAATCATATTCCTTAAGGCTTTTATCAATTATTGTGACTCTTTACGTTTGAGTCACACATTTTCTGGGTGGAAAATTCCCACTCATCTATAAATCACAATTCCCAAACTGACACTAGATGGCGCTCTTTAAAAGCATTCGTCATGGAAGTCTGTACTAGGAAGATGGCATATTAGAGGAAAAATTATTTTAAAAGCCTTTTAAAACTACACATGCAACTCTTCTAAGTATATGTGAAATGTTAGTGTACTTTTAATTTTAGGAAACCTTCGACATACTAAATTTCCTTTAATATTCTAAATTCCTTGTTGCTTTAATCAAAAGCAAGAGTCACTACGCTTCTTGGTTCTCCACCTTTTTTACTTAAAGAGCTTATGATCCATCATAACAAAGGAATGTGTCATGTTATTAAGTATGAAATGTCCGATTTCCTTAAGTACTAAGTTTGACAGTTGGTATCTCTGACATTTCACTTTGACACCTCTTGTTTTACTTTTATTTTGAAGGTACATCCTCAGTCTTCAAATGCATGTTTTGGATTTTGATTCTCTCTCAAATTTTTGGAGTAATTTCTGTGAAACCACAAATCAAAAATTTGTGTTATTTTTGAATGAGTTCTGTTGTGGTACCAATGCAGCGCAGACAACTCAAAATATCAACAAGTATTTGGGAAGGATGTGGCTAATGAACGCACAGTACGTTGGTAGTGTTGAGACGTTCCATTCTGGTGATTTTAATCTTGAAAATGAGCCACATGGGCGACCTGAGACCAAGGTGGATAATGATGAGCTGAAAGCTGTAGTGGAAGCAAATCCATCTCAACCTATGCATAAATTAGCAGCAAGGTTTGACACTATTATTCCAACAATATTGGACCATTTGAAACAAATCAGCAAGGCAAAGAAACTGGATAGATGGGTTTCATTTGAATTAAACAAGCATCAGAAGAGAAATCATCTCAGAGCTTGCCTTTCTTTGCTGTCACGACATAAAGGTGAACCATTTCTACATTGTATTCTTATGTGATGAAAAATGGATTCTTTTCGACAATCACAAGCATTGGGCACAATAGTTGGCACACAATACTCATCAAAAAAAGCTAATAGTGTCTGTTTGGTGGTCCAGTGCTGGTATTATCCACTACAGCTTCATGAAACCTGGTTAATGACTATAGAATGTCTACTGCAAACAATTGGACAAAATGATGAGGATGCTTGCAACTAAGCAGCAGAGATGCGTCAAGAGAGAGACAGGCCAATCCTCTTGCAAGACAACGCTCGACTACATGTCGCACAAACAACGCTGCTCAAACTACAGAGGCTGGACTTGGAAATGCTTGTCATCCACCATATGCACTAGTCCTTCCACCCACTGACTACCACTCCTTCTAGGCTTCTCGCACGGAAAAAGATTCAATTTTCAACAAGCTGTGAAAACGCCGTTTGCAATTTCATTACCACTAGCTCTCCAGGCTTCTTCGCTGCTGACATAAACAAGCTACCATTAAGAGGCAAAACTGTGTCAATAGTTTAGGCGCATACTTTAATTGTACTGCTTCTTGTTGGAGATATAAGAAACTAAACTTTTGATTCAAAATCAGACATTTCATATTTAATGACCTAATAGTAAAGTACCATCGCAGAAAGCTTCCTGATAACAGAAATAATCACTACATTATTATTTTTTTGTTAAACCATAACAGATCTGCTCCATGATTTATTACTTCTTGAAATATTTTCTGGGGGAAAATTAGTTTATGTAATTTAAAAACAACTTTTTAACCCACGGATACCATTTTCTCCTTGAGCTTAATTATTTTTTTGGTTTTTGTTTGGCACCTAGAGCTGATTTTAAAACAAAATACTAAAGGGTATTTATTGAAGTTCAAAGTTTATAAAGTTTTTTACAAAGTTGAAGGGACCTCTTGAAATATTCTCATGTTAATATAACACTTTTATGCTGTAAGTCCTAAACAAAAGCCAAGCAATGCACCTAGAAACCTACTGCTGATTAATTTACCAACCCTTTTGAGTCACTCTCCTGACAGTGGGATACTATAAAAAAGACCCGTAAGTGCTTCAAGAAGACAGATTTGAAAGAAAACATGATTGATTTCCTCATCTGCCCAACAGTCTAGAAAATAGTAATTAGGAGACTAGTTCTGCCAACACTTTTTTAAAACTCAAAACAATGCCATGCTATTTTACAGGTTGTAAGAAACAAAAAACAGGTTAACAAAATGATTAGAGTTCATCTGTATTTGCCCCTTTCCAAGCCACCTAAGAACCATGAAAATAGGCTTTTACACATACTCTATATATAAACTCTTCTCATTGTTAGTCCTTAATAAACGCTGAATGTCAACAGAATGGCAATGACCTACCCATGGTGATATCTAAAAATTAATGAGATGCCTGAGAGAAAATGCAAAGTACTGTTGATTTTTAACCTGATTTTTTTCAATATAAATGTTGGTGTTTTTTTCTGAGAGATTATAAATGTTACTTATCTTAGAATTAAAAAAAAAATTACTCTCCCTGGGAAATTTCTCCCAATTATGTACTAATTTTTAAAATAAATATTAAATATTTAGAAAACCTGAACAAATTTGTAATGTTTTTGGCTTGCACTATGTTTTAATTTTTCAAGGGAGTAGAACATAGTTTTTGCTCCAAGTTTGCAAATCACAGGCAAAAGAAATCCTTCTCTTATTTTCTTCTCCTTTACTACCTGGAGAATGCCTGAGTTCGTTAATTTTGTCATGAGCTTTAGGAAGGTAGGTGCTATATAATCAACTTCTGTGTCTCTAGGGCATCTGGGCACAGCTCTTGTTATGCCCTATCACATTCCTGCCAAGCACAGAAGTGGTGTCATTTGCGTTTTCTCAGTTTTGACAGGTGACGCGCTGCACCTGCTCCTGAGAAGGCAAGAGCAGCAGACAAAAATCACAAACTTCAGGGGCTGAACGGAGCTAACAGGGTGCGCACCGCTTTCCTGGATATGCCAGTTTGCCTGGGAATCTCGTGGAAGGAATAAATAGGTAACACAAAACAAAACAAAAATTAAAGCTTTGGCTTTATTATTCAGCAATCTTCAAAGATTTTTCAGTTTTTTTTTCAAAGATATTTTTAAGTGCCAGAATTAGTGACAGGTTTAATATTTAGGCCTTTTTTTGCGTTCTCATTCTAATAAGTTAGTTTTGATAAATTAAAACATTTCACATATGAAAAGAGAAATGAGTTTTTATAAGTGTTTTCTTATCTAAAACCATTTTACTACTTCACTGTGTGTGTGTGTGTGTGTGTGTGTGTGTGTGTGTGTGTGTGTGGAGAGAGAGAAACAGTAAACATATTAGAAATAAGGATACTTCACAATCTGGTAAAAAAAAAAAAGGGGGGGGTGAAAGATTTGTGTTCAGAATTCAAGTCCACATCTACGGCATTACGTATAGTATCATATAATAGATAAATTATGTATTAAAGACCAAAGAGTGAATAACTGCAGCAAAATATAAACCAGTGATTTGTGTTTTTTTTTTTCCCAAATAGTAAGTTCTCTGTGCCAGGAATTCGATAGCTCAATAAATGTTAGGTCAATAAACAAAGAATTTTAAATATTACATACATTTTATTGTCTACCTACTATGTGCTGAGCACACAGAACTTGTGCATTACTTCTTTTATTTATTTATTTATTTATTTAATTTTTTAGAGACAGGGTCTTTGTTGCCTGGGCTAGAGTGCACTGGTATCATCATAGCTCACAGCAACCTCAAACTCCCAGGCTCAAGCTGTCCTCCTGCCTCAGGCTTCTGAGTAGCTGGGACTACAGGCACATACCACCACACTCAGGTAATTTTTCTTTTTTCTTCCTTTTTTTTTTTTTTTGTAGCGACAGTGTGTCACTATGCTGCCCAGGCTGATCTCAAACTCAAGCAATCCATCTGCATCAGCCTCCCAAAGTGCTAGGATTATAGGCAGAACTTGTGCATTACTTCTAATTGTCGCAATCCTTAAAAGCACATTGTATTTCCATTATACGGACGAAAATTGTACATCGGTCCAAAAGTATTAATTGAATTTACAAAGGGATCTTATTTGAAGAAAAAAGGTATTTTTCTAATGTAAATAGTACAATTTTATAAACTTAGAATTTCATTAATTGAAGTATATTATAATTTTATTGCAGCAACAATTTTACCAAGGTGAAAATCACCAGAAATCATGTTATTCTAAGCAAGTATGCTCATCTCAGTACTCCTTGATTAAAAAAACCTCCATTCTGAAGGCCAGGTTATTTGACATCTCAGCTCTGGATTAAGTTCTTTGGCAGCTCCTTCCTGATTCCTTTCATTGGATACTCCTCAGACTTCTCAGTGACCCGCGGCTCAGTGCTTTTGCCTTCTTCTAAATTTACATTCATTTCTTTGATTACTGGCTTTTAAACTTTTGATCATGCCACACAATGGGTAATAAATTTTATAAAGCAACTCACTATATAATGAATAAGACTGAAACAAAAATGTCCTAATATTATTACTTGGGATAAATCTGATATTTTTTACTCTGTACTCTTTTTTTTTAATGCTGGTTGTGACTAAATTGATTTTAATGGGGCACAACTCACAATATAACAACCATGTTCCAGGTGATCTCCAGTGCCATAGCTTTAAATATCACCTGACTCCTATATTCACGTCTCAGCTACAGACTTTCCCCATGGACTCCAGACTCCTATATTCTGTTAATACTTGACATCTCTACATGGATGGTTTTCTCAACCTTCTCCCCTTCCCTTGTGGTCCACTCCTTGGTAAAATGGCAACACCATTTACCCAGATGCTCAGGCCATAACCTCTGAAGTCCCACTCCTTTCTCTCTCTCTCACACCCTGCCATCTCTACCTTTGAAACACATGCCAAAGACAACTCTGTAGCCCCTCTACCATGACCACCTGAATCTCAGTCATCACCAGCACTTACCAGGACCATTGCAAAACCTTATTAACTATTTCACTCCACTCGCCACACAATGGTCCATTCATTCTTCGATAGTCTGGGTGATCCTCTAAAAACTTAAATCAGATCATGGTCCCTGCTCAGAACCATCCAATGGCTCCCGAGCACACTTAAAATCCAAATTTCCTATAGGCCTAATGTGGCCCTAGCTATCTTCCTGTTTAGACTTCATCTCATATCCTTCCTCACTCCCTTCCAGCCATGGTTCTCCTTGCTGTTCTTGGAAGAAGCCAGAAATGCTCCCACTTGAGAATTTTTGTACTTGCTATTCCTTTGCCTAGAACGCTCTTCTCTGAGATATTCACGTGGCTTGCTCCCCCATTTCATTGATTTCTTACATAAATATTGCCTCAGAGCAGCCTCTCCTGACTACTTGAATTAAAAAACCACTCCCGTTACTCCCAATCCTCTTTTATCCAGCTTTTTCTTCATAGCACTTATCACCTAACATTATAATATCACCAATGCTTAACAGTACTCATATTTTACTTCAATGAATAAATGAATTAATGTAAATGAATGTCAGTAATCACTGTCATGAATACTACTGAGAACTTTAGTACAACATGAACCTCATTCTTCATGACACCATTCTTTTACTTCCAAATTAATATATCTACTTTAAGGGCCAACTAAGTATAAATTAAAATGAAGAAACAGGATCACCTTTGTGAGCCAAATCAGAAAAAGTATAACAGGAATCTCTCCAAATTTGTAAATACAGCATAGAAGTTTTTATGTATATTGATATTCAGGCAAGAGAACTAGGAATCTTAACTAGATTCTATATACTTAGCCTGCAAGTAGAATATTTATACAATAAGAACTTTAAAGTAGTGGATTAGAGCCCAGACTCTTGAGCCAGACTAACCAGGTACAAATCCTGGTTCTGATTCTTAGCAGCTATAAATAATTTTTATGCACCTTGGTTCCTCATTTATAAATAGCAACAATAACAGTACCTACCTACAGTATGCAGGGAGAACAGAATAATTCCTGTCACGTGGTTAGCTCCTAAATAAATACTAGCTACTGTCATTCATTTATAAGTTATCTCCAAATTTCTCATCCATTGACACGATTAAAATATACAAACTTTGATGTGCAAAACCCAAATTGTGTGTGTACTGCCAAACTTCTTCCCACAAAAGGGATTCACGTTAAAACGAAAAGTTCCTCCCTCCCCCCCAAATATTGAAAAACCTTTTTTGTTACTGAGACTGAAAGCCAGAGAGTCATGAAATGGTACAATATAAAAAGGGAAACCCTTACTCCACATGCATATTAACTGATTATATTGTACAAAATTAAGTAGTTCAGCATAGTTTATAAGTATGGAAAAATTACATAACTCATTTTAAAGATTAGAATTTAAATCTGCTTAAATTCCCTCCTACATTAAATGTTCAACAGTTTGAACATTACAACTTAGCTTGTTTTATACTTTTCATAAAACAACACTATTTGGTTGTAAATCCCACCCCATTTTATTACAATAATATAGATTTAAAAAAAAAAAGCTTACAGAGATAAATAGTAGCTAATTATCTTAAATATTAAAGGTCAAAGATAACAAAAAACCTGAGCTTTTTCAGAGCTCATTACATGATGTACTATGGGATATAGTTAAGTCCTAGAGGACAAAAGCCTATAATTAAAATTAGCTGTTTTCTTATCTGGGCTAGAAGTAGAAAAAAAATGTTTTAAAGTAAAAAAGCTTACCGTAACCTCAGCCATGAAGAAAGGGTGTAATCTTTTCTCTGGAGAATCAGGGAATCTCTGGTTGCCGTGGAGTCATAATGCTTGTAGCTAAACCTAACCTCATAATTAACCAGGATCCACAGCACAAAAGGATAACGTGTTAGAAACATCAGCAACCCTGAAATAAAATTACTGAATCCTCAAAGCAAACAATACCTGTGCTTGTTATGATCTAAATGGTTTACATCCCTGCCTCCCAAGGCCTAATCGTAACACAATTCAGTAGGATACTTTCAATACTTGAGGATAAAAACAACATATACCAGGGAACAGCATATGCTATAGAAGACGTGTTAGTTGGCTGGCCCCAGAATTCAGTTTCAAGGCCTGCTAAACTGTTGCTGTTAGAAAGGCCAATTGGCTACTCAGTATTTCTTCTTATTTCAAATCATAGGTGATGATACAAAAGCTACAAAGTAAAACAGGTTTAAAAAAACAAAAACAAAACTTGATGGGCCCAGTACTATAGAAAAAACGATTCTCAAATCTGACTTTTTCAGTCTTATTTTTGAAGTTAGGCCTTATAAAATGAGGCTTTCAGTATAACCTAAATACAATTTCAAGCGATGAGTATGCTTAAGGCAAACCTCTCAGCAGCGTATGCCCCCCACCAGGTAGTTAAAAAAAACCCACATAGATTAACGTCTGATTTATTAAATATGACGGCAAATCGCTCAGTTGTTGTGTTATAACAGTTTATTTTCATAGTATTTAAGTGACCGTGCTTACATATTTAAATGTGTCATATCACTAGTTCTTACTAGCTTTTGCATTTTCTCCTGTAAACGCTGTTTCTACAGATAGGCTTAGAAGAAAAATAGTAGTACACTATATTCTTTATCACTTTAGCACAAAATATATTATTAAATGCTGGCATTTTCTCGATATTCAGGCATTTGTAACAAGGAATGAGATCCTGGCATTAAGAATAAAGGGAAAATAACAAGTCACCTATCCCTAAAACCAGGTAGAGAGCAGGGATGGGAAGCACGTGCATTATCAAACGTGTCTGAACCAAAGCAACTCTCAAGCAACTCAAACAACTTTCTACAGAAGTTAAAAACCGAAGAGAGACACAGCTTTGAGGACGTGAGGTAAGCGAACAGGTCAAAAGGAGTCACTGTTAAGCGGTGTTCACACGCACCTGGCTTCTCCACCCAGGAAGGACTGGAGAGAATTAAGCGCCAAAGAGGGAGAAAGTTAGTGTGAGCCAAGGGGTCTGGAAATCGCACTAAGCGGCAAAAGACCCCACAAACCCCTACAACTGAAACCTGCTCGTTCCCCTACAGCAGAGGAAGACGGGACTGGCGCGGGGAGAACCGGCAAACGCGCACACCTGGGGGCCCAGAGCACCCGACCGCACCTCCCGGGGATGTGACGCAAAGAAGGATGAGGCGGCCCCGGGGCGGGAAGGAGATCAGCAACTCCCCGCCCTCGTCGTTCCCACCCCTCCCCCGCACCCTCAGCCCCGTCGACCCGGATGCAAACAGCGGTCCCTGGAAGGTCGCGGAGGCTGAGAAGCTGGCGGCCCGAGCGCCCTCTTTACCTGGTCGCAGAGGCGCGGCCAGGCAGGGAGGGTGCGTGAGCGTGTCGGCGACACCGGCCGCCTGCGCCTTCTCGCCCAGCTGGAGCCGCAATCCCAAGGCTGCTTCTGGGAGCCGCTGCCCGCGCACTACACGCTTTCAAAGAAACCGGGGGCGGAAAAAAAAAAAAAAAAGTCACAAGCACTACATCCGGCCGATATCCGCGCCGGCCCTCATTCATAATCCGGCGGACCGGAAGAGAGATGTGACGTCACTTCCTGCTGTCTCACTGCCAAACGCTTCCCCTCAGCCCTACAGCGGGAACGTTTGTTTTCCCGCTTTCGGAGCCGGCTGGTGCGGGGACAGGTTCGGAGGGGGCCACCAGGAACGGACGGAGCGGCGGGGCGGAGCGGTGAGTTGTGACGAGAGACCCGTCTCCCGGCCGCCTCCGGGGGGCTCGAGACCTCCGCGAGGGGCGAGGGTAGCTTCGAGGGGACTTAATTTCCTCGCTTCTCGAGGGGAAACCTCAGAATTTTCGGGCGGTTGCGAGCCTCAGCCTGGCCGCTCCCTCCTCGCGGCGAGAGCTGTGCTTCCCCCCGCGGTGCTGCGGACCCGGGCACGCGGTTGGGGACCTCGTCTCGAACCTTCGGCGGGGGGTTTTGGCGACTTCTCTGTGCAGCTCCCTCATTCCTTCCGTCGTCTTGTGGCTTCCTTGTCAAGGACCTTCTCTCATGCTAGGCCTTCGGCGTGCTTTGCTTTCTTTGACCGGAGGAGTGACATTCCTTTTCTGCATGCTGTCGCTTTTCAGCTGCTCTCCTCTCACTTCGGGGTCTTTTCTCCTGCCTTGCGTTTCCAGTCCCTGAAGTATCAGTGTGATCCAGAACCAAGAACCGAGTAGAGAAATAAAAAGCACAGCATCTTTAAGAGAATGCTCATTGGAAGGGGTTGCAAGAGCTTGCAGAGCCACGAGCGACAAAGTTCTCTAGAGCTGTCATGAAATAGCAACCCCAGTATTGCACTGTGTGTGAATAGATTCAGTTTCCTTCACTCAGGCACATGCAGAGGATCAACTTTGGACTTGTTTAGAAATTGGCAAGTAGTGTGGAAAACGGATCTAGGGGAAAGCATATGTTTATATTTATGCATGAATATCTAATTTAAGTTGGAGAGGTCATAGAAGCCCTCAAAGTGACATTTATGCAAAAACTTAGTTCATTCATTCAATAAATATTTGTGAGCACCTGTTAGTTCCACATACTAGGGAAATAACAGTGAACAAAATGAATCCCTGCCCTTCAGGAGTTTACGTTCTGGTGGGATTAATGAATTTAGGCCAGGTGAAAGATTAGGAGGAGAGTATGGCCGATAGGAATATTGGACAAGTCCCAATTCATGAAAGAAGTGATTTTTGTTTTGCTTTGCTTTTCCTGTTCCAATGTTTGGGTTTTTTGGGGGGCGGGATGGGGTGAGTGATGGAAGATTGTAGCCAAAAAGAATAGTTGTGGCAAGTTTCAGATTTTGCTGCCTCAAGATGAAGCTTCTTGAGGTTGAAGGTCGAAATGAAATGAATATGGAAAGTTGGAAAAGATCATCAGTATAAATGCTAACGTTGTTGAAGATGACGGCAGGGGGAGAACAGGAAGGTGAGCTTGGTGCAAATGTATACGTTAGTAACAGCGAAGACGCAGGTGTGGGTTTCAAGGGAAGATGTTGACATATGGTGGTCTTGGAATATTTTTCTAAAAGCAGCAATACAAAGTAAGGTCTCCTTAGACCTCTCTTTGCTCATTGAAAGGAAACAAGTCAAAGGAACACGGTTTTGGAGAAGGTTTTAAGGGAGGTGATGTCTTTGGGGAGAAGCATAAAAGAGCAAAGAAGTGCTTCAGGAAAAAGTGGAACATAGAGGGGAATGTGTTGGTAATGAGCAGGGGCGAGAAGATGGTTGGCAGCTAGCGATGAAGTGATGAAGTTAGCGTGGAGAGGGAGGAGGGCTGAGCCGGATGAGAGTGCTGCAGGCATTTGCAAGGGGCGGGTTGTTTGCACCTTAAAGCAGCCATGATGAATAAGAGGGAAAGTGGAAAGTAGAAGTTGCTAGATAGTCTAGCAGTGGCCTCCAGACTTTTCTTATTTATTCCATGAGTAAAAGAACTAAACATATTTTCATATATATGTGTTCAGTCATCAATTATATACCTACTGTATTATCCCCCTGTATACAAGTAGCTTTTTTAAATAATAAAATTAAATAGACATTTTAATATTTTTTCTCTTGTATTCCACTGCAGGGAGCACTGGGCTAGTTGTGGGATACGTTAGTAATTTAGGGCAAGGGCACAAAGCCTGTGAAGTTTTGTAAGTGCAGGATCATATAAAAAGAACCGACTCCAAGGTTCCAATCGGAATGTTGGTGCTGATGACTTCTGTAGTCTTGTGCTGACTCTGACACCTAATTTGTAGCATAAATCTTTTTTCTGCGATTATAGAAATGCATGACAATATATACTTTGCTTCCATTTTTCAGCACGGAAATTTCAAGTACTGGTTTTTTCTAATATATTACAAGGATTCTTCTAGGTATCAACCCTTTTGTCAGTTCCCAATAAAACAGGATAAGTAAACTACTATGCCTTTTGGCTGTATAAAATTAGATCAGTAGAAAGATTAGGCTCTCTTCCCCTTGTACATTCTGGAAGAGTGGCAGGTTTAGCCTTTTAATCATGGAAGTTTTATTGAGGAGATATTTTTTCCTCAGAATATATATGGTGACCAGTCCCGTGAGTAAATTTAAAAATAACCTTTCTGTGCCTATCATTATGTAGAGGTGATGTATGTAATAATACAATATTAAGAGGTGACAGGCTGCTTCTCAGTCTTTTTAAGTTCTTACAATACAACAGTTTGAAATGAGGTTACTTTTTCCTTCTATTATTGGCCTTTGGACCCCTTTACATGGGTGATTTGGGTGATGTTTTAGTACAGCCCAGAATTTGACAATAATTTTGAGGCTATCAAGTAGATAACTGATACCTTCTTGGGAACTTAAGAAAAACAGCCTAGGGTGTGTGTGTGTTTCCTCTCAGACCTGGAAGTAGGTGGGAGGGAACAAACAACCCGTTTTCAGGCTGTGCTTTCATATGCCAAGATTGAACCTACAGCAAGTGTCAGTGGCGTCGTAAACCCCTGAAAATGGGAGATTGCTGTGACGTTGCAGATTCTTAACCGTAGCAGAGCAAGTATGTGCATTACTCTAATATTAACCTCAAGGGCAGAAGAGGATCTCAAGCTGTGGCATTAATATGTTGATCAAAGGATTGAACACAAAGAATACATTTTTATTTTAATAATTCTTTGCCTGGAGAGGTATTTGAAAAAGTGACAACCAGAAGTAGAACCACATGATAGCATTGATACTAACTGAAAACAGAACGTTTTAATGCTGGGAAATTTCGTAAGTCATTGATGTATATCTTTATCCATCTTGGCTGTTTTGTAAGCTCTGTAGGACACAACATCATGATAGGTTCTATGGGAGATAGATTATATGCGTATGTACATATATATATACACACACACACACACATATATAGATATGTATATATATTTTTTTTAAGCAGCTATGGTACCATCCCTCAGAGACCTTGCTTTTTAAAAATAGGTTAATACATAAGACACTGCAATCTAAAAGTGATCTAATAAGATTATCAGTATGTTTCAAGATTGGGGCAGAGGACTAAGGAGGCAAAATTTAAAAAAAAAGATAGTCGAGGTAAAAGCAACCTCTACAGCACATCACTTAATGCACCCCTGAACCATTGCCCTCCTATACACCCCCTACACGTACAAACACATGCATAGTAAATCTTCGTTTTTTTTGTTATGGAAGTAAGGTTTGAGAGAAGAAATTTTGATATAGAATGAACCTGACCTAAACACATCAAGTTCTGTGCACTGAAATTACAAGTGTATCTTTGAAACCAGGTAAGAAGGGGCTCTGCAGCAGGGAGAAGCTTACCTGGATTTAAAACTTTGCCATAGATACAGATACACAGAAAACTGATAATGCTGGTTGTTTCAGCAGAAAAGAATTAGATAATGCCAGTCAGGATAAGAAGGAAATTTACTTTTATCTGTCATAACCTTTTGGACTTTTTAAATTTCGTATCATGCACACAGTATATTATAAACAAAGAACAAAATGGGTAAAACTTTGACATAGGTAATTGCACATTGTCTCTAAATTACTTCTCCCTCTTTTTTCCCTTCAGGTGTTTGCAATGGCTGCCTCTGTGAACTTGGAACTTGATCCCATTTTTCTGAAAGCACTAGGTTTCTTGCATTCAAAGAGTAAAGATTCTGCTGAAAAGCTAAAAGCACTGCTTGATGAATCTTTGGCTCGGGGCATTGATTCAAGTTACCGTCCATCTCAAAAGGTACCTACCTGAACAAAAAGCTTGGAAAGAACAACTTCTTAGCTGAATTAGATAATCGTCGCAGATACTGCAAGATTATACTCAATTTTTTTGTTGCACACATGATACACTTTTCAGTTTAATCTGCATTATTAACATTTGCTCCATCGCTTTACTAAGTCTACACCAGTGATCAACATACTTTCTGTAAAGAACTAAGTAGTAAATAATTTTTTTTGGAAACGGGGTCTTGCTATGTTGCCCAAGCTGGCCTCAAACTCCTGAGCTCGAGTGATCTTCCTGCCTCAGCCTCTCAAGTAGCAAGTAGTAAATATTTTAGGTTTTATGAACCAGGTGGTCTCTGTTACAACTATTTAATTGTGCCATGGTAACGTAAAAGCAGCCATACATTGTACATGAATGAATGGGTATATAGATGTGTTACAATATAACTAAAAAACTATATTTTAGGCCTCAGTTTGCTAAACCTCAGTCTAAACAATTATCACAATAAGTCAAGCCCTGCTTGATAGGACTGAAACCCCATTTCTCATCCCTTCCCCTTCTCTTCGTCCTCAGAGGTAACCACTGTTCTGAAGCTGATACATATCATAAGCATTTACATTTCTGTACTTTTACGGATTATCACAGA